CGGCTTTGGCCCGGAGGACAAAGAGCACACCGAGCTCCAGTCTGCCGACCCCTCAACCCAACAGGCACAGGATGTGGCCCTCGACTTGGAGTCTTCCTGGAGCGATGAAGACAACAGCATCATATTCGAGCCCAGGAGTGACCATGACCCAGACCACATCCTGTACGAGCTCAGCTCAGATTCTGACGATGAAGTGATAGGGGTGAGGAGAGTACCTTGGGGGTGTGAAGGCCGGCCTAGTTCCCCGGCCGATGAGGAAGAGGACATTGCCCTGGGCCTTGAAACCCACCTCAACATTGAGCCGCAGACATCTAACCTGGAGACCCCGGGCACCCGCAGGTACCTGTCCCAATCCCTGTCCTCAGAAAGAGGCGCCGCCGAGCTTTCCTCCATGTGGGCGGATGCAAAATTGAGCCCCAGCCGGAAGAGGGCACCTGCCCAGAGCCATGTGAAACGGCAGCAAGGTTTTATCACTCCTGTCTACTCCTGTGGGCCCAGTAGAGGCCAACGCTGGAGGAACGTGAAGGGCAACAACAAAGGCAGGGTAATGGCCAGCAGGGCTGCCCACTGGCCCTCCCATGACACCAACCCTGACTCCAAGTCTTTACATGAGTTCAGTAAGGTCCAGCCCGCAAGGATGAATGTTTCCCACAAGGGAAGAGGCCAGGCCAGGTTCAGCTGCCCCAGGGAACCAGGAGATGCGGCCAGATACTCGAATATCCGTGCCCAGGTGAGTGTCCCTCACTTACAGGGCACTCCGATGACTTTTGCTTCCCGAAGACTTGCCTCAAATACGGGAAAGCAGTCGTCAAGAGAGCTGGGTGCGTCTTCCTCTAAAAAAATGCAAAATATGGCCTGGGCCAAGGGAGAGGGCAGGCCCAGCCGCCCAGGAGCAGGTCCTGTTGCAGGAAGCGTTTCCAGGGCCACAACTTCGAAGAAGGAGACCCAAGAGAAGAAATCTCAGGGTGGTGGCTCAAGAGTTATCCTGGGGAGAGCTTTCCCTTTATGGGGGCAGAATGTCAGAGATGCTCCCCTTGAACCAGCCGCCTTCCCACAAATCATGGGTATTCAGATACTTGGGAAGTCCAAGACGTTTTCTTTGCTGCCCTCGGGATCCAAGCAAGGGGCCACTGGAAAAAGATCCCCAGCCAAGAAAGTAAGAGAGCCCCAGCCTGGGGCTGGAGAAGATAAAGGCCCAAATAGTGATTCTGCCCTACAGACCAAACTTTCAACACACAAGCCAGGACCACATTCCCTGAGCATGCATCGCAGAGAATTTGTCCACGTTGAAGTTGACACCAGAGCTCCCGAAGCTCCAGCAGCCTCCCAGCCCTTGACTGCGAGCCAAGGAGGCCTCCCACCCAGAAGCTCTACACTCACTGGTGACCAGGAACCAACTGTGCAGTCTCCAACTCTGGAAAGGCAGCAGCCACCCCCTGGAGCACAGGGATGTCCCCGGTGCCTTGTGCTCCAGAAAGAAATAGATGACCTCAAAGAGCAACTAGCGGTCCTGCAGTTCCTCGCTGATAAGTTCCAGACCCTTTAAAATGGAAACCAGCATCTTCACCGAAGACTGACAGCCAATACCTGTGGAATCCCGGAGCTGAAGTCAAGCTCTCTCCCTTCCCTTCTTCATCCAGGGCCTCCTCTCTGCCCCACTTTTGCCCCTTGCTCACCCCAGTTGACAACGTCAAATTAAAGTACCTCTCATGTTAAAAAAAAAAAAAGAAGAAGAAATAGCAATATGTTGATGAGGTCTATAATTTTTTTGGCAGAGATTACTTCAGGAAGCATTCTCCTTTAGGTCAGGGAGGCACTATATTATTTATCCTTTACTTTGGCAGAAGCACTTAACGTTGCTGTTGAGACTAATTGGGTTGGCCTTCCCTGACCACAGGTCAGAGATGAAATTGTACATTTACCCCAGGCAGCTCACCAAATTAGCATGTAGTAGAAAATACCCCCCCTCCCCCAGCCAACTATACTTGTTAGTTGCCCGGTAATAGTTCCCCTTTCAGATCTGGTTTCTCCTGTCTCTTAGAAAGGGCTGGCCAGTGTGCATAGCTGGTTACTACGATTCACATTGTATAAACCAATTCCCAATGGACAAGCCATTCTGCCTCTGTGTTTCCTGCTTGCTTATCTCTTAGAAGCCCTAGATCACCAGAGATCAGGACCTGATGCTTTGGGAGTGATCCCCAATCAGTGACTGTTGAAGTAAACAAATCTGCTTCCAAATCCTGGGTGTCATTGCGGTGTTTCTGCTTGCTGCTGCAAGCAAAGCTCCTTAGAAGGCCCTCTGAGTGCCTAAAATGCTTTCCTACAGTGATCATCCCGAGCTGAGAGATCCAGTGGGGCGGTGAGGAAAGAAAGCTGGAAGAGAGGAAAGCATTCTCTTGTAGGGGGCAGGAGCTGGGAATCAACTGCAAACAGGCAGCCCTGCCAGGAGGTAAGTCCAGAGAAGGAAAAGAATTTCAATGAGCTCATGGCACCACTGCCAAAAGGGAACTATAACGGACCCTCCAGCAACACCAACCTTGCCAGGGTCACAACGCCACAGAGATGTTAAAAACTGGCTCTGCAACACAAGCACTGAAGAACACTGAATCCAACACTCAAGTAAAGCGGGTTCACAATAACCGAAAACTAGCTCACCCTCTGCGCTAAGCCCCTTCCACCCGAAGACCTGCACACAAACACCTCGCGACTCCAGAAGAGGGCGGTCCCAGCCTCACGTGACGCCGCGGCCACGTGACCCCCTCGCGAGCGCTGCGTTCCGGTCCCACGGCCCCGGGGTGCCGCACCCAGCCCCCTGCCCCACACCACCATGCTGTCCCGCCTGCTCAAAGAACACCAGGCCAAGCAGAACGAGCGCAAGGAGCTGCAGGGTGAGCGGAAGTCGGGTCGGCCTCTTCTCTGGGGCGGGCTGCGGCCCTGCTTCTGTGCGGAGCCCCGAGTACCTGCCCACATGCAGGGCAGGGCCCGTGGGAATGGGTACCGCGCGAAGACGAGAGGTCATTGGGGTGGCTCTTTTGGAAATTCTGCCCCCTTGCCTAAGGGATCGTCCCTCGCTGGTCCCCTCGGCAACGCCCCGCCCCTGGTGCCTATTGGTCCGGCGAGCTGGTCTGGCTGCGGGAAGGAACGCCCCGGGCCCGCGGGGGAGAGGGCAGTGGGGCAACTGCGACCCACTTCTGGGAGCTCTAAGGCCACCGCCGAAGGGGAGCTGGAGCGCTTCCTTCCTCTCCCCAGGCTCGGAATCCCCGGGTTGCCCATTCTTTGACTAAAATAGTGGAGAAAGAGTGCTGGAAGTCAGGAAACCGCGGCGCTGCCCCGACTCATTGGCATCCCCGGAGCCAGCCTTTTCTCCTCTCAGGGCACCAATTTTCTCATCTCTAAAGCGAAAGGGGTTGCTTTGTGTTCCGCAAGGACATTTCCAGCTCGGGCATTACAGATTTAGCAGGTCGTTCTGGGAACTAGCAGAGTAATAACGAATGGGTGAGAAAACATTGCACAACCCCCTAAGACACCACCAAGGGTTCACTCCAGTACTTTTCCTCCCACCCCTAGAAAAGAGGAGGCGAGAAGCCATCACTGCGGCGACCTGCCTGACAGAAGCTTTGGTGGACCACCTCAATGTGGGGTATGAGCCTCTTGACAACACTGTCACCTCCCCCACCCATCCACTACCCAAGAGAGGCACCAGCAAAGTGTCAGAGCTTGGGCTGCCCTTGAAAGGTTGAGACAGCCACTTACTCCCCTATTCGGTGCCCACCTCCCAGCCGAATATTATGGAGTGAGGCTTGAGTCAACTCTGATCACTGGGGCTAGGTGAGGAGGAGCAGCTGCAGTGGTTAGAGACGCAGCCAGATTCCCCCTCCCCACATGCAGTTCCTGGCACTTACAACTTGGTGCCATCTGCCCGCCTCCCTTTACCATCCCAAGTCCAGCTGTCGCTTGGGCAGGAGGCAGAACACCCTCCTTCACAGTTTACCACAGACCTCTTCCCACCTCCAAGCCAGAAGAACAGCTGGCAGGAAAGAGATGGCACAGCTGGTGAGGGTGAGAGTAGAACCTGTGCCAGGAGCTATAGCAGAGTCATGCTGTCTCTAGGCCTCCAGAGGTCTTCTGGGCCTCCAGAGACCTCCCCCTTCTCCAGCCCTAAATCAGAATGCCAATAATAGTGAAAGATTTGGGAAGAAACATGGTTGTCCCTTGACTTGTGTGACTCAAGAGTGCAGAAGTGATGACTTGGTCAGCTGTTGAAGAGAAGAGGTAGGATGGTGCCTTCCACCCAGTGCAAGCAAAACAGCCTGCTTGTGCATCCAGAGACTGAGTCATCCCAAGGGAGTCATGCCAGGACTGGGTCAGCTTCATTACTCATCTAGAGGAAAAGTGGAAGAAAAAAGGCTGCGGTTCCGGAGGACTGGGGGGTCCCACCCCTGTGGGTGCCCCCTGGACTCTGCCATGCCACCATCTGTGAGGTTGGCCCTCTTCCTTCACCAGAGGCTACCCTACTTTCAGGATAGAGGGCAGCTAAGGCAGTGCCAGATTAGAAAGGGTTTTGTGTTGCTGCCCACAGCTCCTTTTATTCCCCAGGAAGGAAAACAAAGGCTTGGTCTATCTTGGCCCTGGTCAGGTGTCCTGCCCACTCTCTTGACCCCTTCCCAGCCCCTTGCCTCCTTCAGCCCCCACACATTCCAGTGGGTGGGGCCACCGGATATGGATTCTTGGGGCTGATCTAGAGCTTTGGGATGGGGAGTGAAAAATTCATGGGCCAATAAGGCAGAATAATTATATTCAGAGAAGAAGATGCAAAAAAGCCTGATGGAGGACTGAGGATACCACCCCTGAGGTCAGAATGGTAAAAGCAGCTAGCACTTGAGGAGAAGAAGCAGAGGGAGGGAATGTGTGTGTTTGCTCATCCGTGGTAGCAAGCGAAAGGACAAGGGCTGGGAGATAGCCAAGCAGAAACCCCTGGGACAGCCTCTCTTGACCCAGTGTTTCTGGGGAAGGGGTTTGCTTTACTGTCCCACCCGCAATTCAAGGAGGGCCTCATTTCCCTTCCCAACTTCTTGCACAGATCCCTTTGCTTGCAATCACTGCCAGATGTGTCCTTATTGCTGGATTTTCCCAGCTACCACACCTCCTTTTCCCTCCCAGTTTCTTCTCAGGGATACACGCCCCCACGTTAAACTCCCCTCCCCACAGAACTCCCCTGGGGAGGGATAAGAGAGGGTGTGTTTCTTTCAGCTTCCAACTTGTCTCTCCTGGGAATCCTGGGAGTGGAAGGAGCTGGCCTCATTTGCATGTATACTACTAGTTATTTGCATCACATCTAGAAGGGCCAGAATCACAATGTTTTACCCAGCCCTGAATCCCTGTTGGCTTCCCTCTATTACTGGGAAATGCAGACCTAGAGACCAGGCCCCCCACCCATTGCATGAGCTGACCTCTTCCCTCCTCCAATTTTAGAGTGGCCCAGGCCTACATGAACCAGAGAAAGCTGGACCATGAAGTGAAGACCCTGCAGGTCCAGGCTGCCCAATTTGCTAAGCAGACAGGCCAGTGGATCGGGATGGTGGAGAACTTCAACCAGGCACTCAAGGTGGGCCACCCACATCACTGCTGTCATCTGAGTTCCCATGGACTCCTTTAGGTGTTGGTTTAAAAAGAAGGGGAAAAAAAAAAAAAAAAAACTGTTTGGGGCCGGTGAGATGGCTCAGTGGAATAAGCACTTCCCTGGCAAGTGCAAGGGCCTGAGTTCAATCCCCTGTTCCACCAAAAAAAAAAAAAAAAAAAGGGGTAATGGTCCCAAATACCCCACCTCTGGCCTTAGCATCAGAGAAGCCAAAGAAAAAAATAAAAACTGTGTTTGGGGCATAGCTCAGTGGTGGAGCACATGCTTGCATGTGCAGGGCCCTGGGGTTAGTCCACAGCACCACAACAAAAAAAAAGTGGTGTTGTTTGAATTCAGGAGTTTGAGACCAGCCTGGGGAACATATCAAGAACCCCCCATCCCAAAAAAGTAAACAAAAAGAAACATTAAAAGTTGGTAGAACCAAAAAAAGCCCTTTCAGGGCTGGCCAGATAGCTCAGCAGACTTAGGCAGGTGCAGGGACCGGGATTTCATCCCTGGCATGCCCTACCAGCCCTGCCCCCGGGGCACACTGAGCCCATGACTATGACTGGGAATGGTGGCATACACCTGTAATACCAGTGCTTGGGAGGCTGAAAACAAGAGGATCACTATGAGTTCGATCTACGTAGTGAGACCCTGTAGACACTGTACTAAATATTAAAAAAAAAAAAAAAGGTCCTTTCCAGGAGATAGAAGGAAAGTGTTCCCCAAACTGGGAGTCACACTCTGTCCATCCTGATTCCTGGGCTCCAATCCCTTTCACCCTTCCCAGGAAATCGGGGATGTGGAGAACTGGGCTCGAAGCATTGAACTGGACATGCGCACCATTGCCACCGCCCTGGAGTATGTCTACAAAGGGCAGCTGCAGTCTGCCTCCTCCTAACTCTCCTCCCTCCCCCTCACCTTGCCATAGGGGCAAGAGGGACACTGATGGGTCATGAATAAAACACAGCGTCCATTTCTGTGTGGTGTTTCAAGGAGCTACTGGCTTCGATGTGTGGGTGAGAATCGAAGGTCCAGAAGTATGTCCCCCAACTTCTCCTCTGCCACCTTTCTCTCCTCCTCAAACCTGGTGCAGGTCCTACCAGCTAAGCAAAGGGTAAAGTTACACACAGGTCCCCAGTGAAGGTCCCAGTGGCCCCCATGTCAGATTCCCCAGTTCTGGACTTCAGTTTCATGTAGAGGAAAAATAGGCGAGCAGCAGGCTTGGTTCCAGTGCTGGCTGGCCATTGTGCCACGTGTTCACAGTCTGTCTCAGGCTGGCACTAAGCAGTGTCATGCGTCTGGGCTGGGTGGGAGATTAATTCTTGGGGGCATTTCAGGGCTAAGAAGAGAAAGGAATGACAGACCAAATATGGCCAGCAGAGGAGGGTGGCTGCCATCCTTGACAGTTCCACCCCCTGGGAGGTGAAAGCAGGAATAGTGAGGAACCCAGACTGAGAAAGACAGCCCAGGAGGGTGCCTGTGCAGATCTGGCCTCTGCCAAGCCCAGCTTCAGCCCTATGAGCTCCAGCCTCCCTGGCTCCTCCTTTGCATCCCTCCTCCACCCCATTCTGCATACATTTAACAGTCCTGGTGCCTGAGTCCACCCACTGCAGACTTCAGCCTTTGCCACAGCTAGTGTAGGAGCCCAGGAAGACCGGAAGCAAAGCCAAAGAAGCAGCTCCACAAGTCATAACATCAGCCTGCTTTCCCCAAAGGAGGTAAGCAGAACCCTGGGAGTTGAGGGTGTGATGAGAAGATAGCTAGATATGACATGCATTGATAACTGAAGGCTTTGACTTTGGACCCGTATCCTCATACTCTGTGCCTTCCACTTGCCACAACCCTAAGGTAACCAGACCTGCTACAAGAAGAACCAAGTTGAGTGATGCAGTGAGGCACCCAGCGTGTTCGGGGCCATAGGGACTGAAGGGCAGTGCTCCTGGCTGTACTTGTAGTTCCAAAAATAAGGCTGCAGTTACACTTAGAGGACTTTAGTACTTTGGTGTCCCTAGGTTAGAAAATGAAAACAAGACAGCAAAACCAGATCCTTCTGCCAAGCAAATAATTTCTTGATCTGCTCAAACCAGACACCAGCTGGGAGAATGTTAGGGGCTTGGTCTTAAGGGTCAGAGTAAACAGCAAGCTTTCCTGCCCAGCCTAGGCTGCCACCTGCAGGTCTTTTGGGTCCAGCCATGTGGCTGCCTGTGCTGCTGGGAGCCTTGCTTTGGGCAGGGCTGTGGTTGCTCAGAGACCGGCAGACACTGCCGGCCAGCGATCCCTTCGTCTTTATCACCGGCTGTGACTCAGGCTTCGGGCGCCTTCTGGCACTGCGGCTTGACCAGAGGGGCTTCCGAGTCCTGGCCAGCTGCCTGACCCCATCCGGGGCAAAGGAACTACAGCAGATGGCCTCGTCTCGCCTCCACACCACCCTGCTAGACATCACTGATCCCGAGAGTGTCCAGCAGGCAGCCAAGTGGGTGGAGACACACGTTCAGAGTGCGGGTAAGTGGCAGAGCCACCAGGAACATGGCGTAAGGAGCTCCCCCATGGTAATCCCAGCAGCTACTGCAGACAGAGGCTTTGGGAAGCTAGAGTGCAGTGGGGAACAGCAGTAAGAGAGAATGTGGGAGTACCCCACTGCCTCCATCTGTCTCACCCTTCCACAGGGCTTTTTGGTCTGGTGAATAATGCTGGTGTGGCAGGCATCATCGGGCCCACGCCCTGGCTGACACAGGAAGACTTCCATCAGGTGCTGAATGTGAATACCCTGGGCCCCATCAGGGTCACCCTTGCCCTGCTGCCCTTGCTGCAGCAGGCCCGGGGCCGAGTGGTCAACATCACCAGCGTCCTGGGTCGCCTTGCAGCCAATGGTGGGGGCTACTGTGTCTCCAAGTTCGGCCTGGAGGCCTTCTCTGACAGCCTAAGGTGAGGGGTCATGGGGCTGCGGGCTGCAAACCAATGGCACCCACTCAGTCAGTCAGTGTGTCCCTGGCTAGTGTAGGTCAGCACATGTGGTGAAGCCTCAGCAGGGTGGAAGATTTACAAGATCATTTTTTGATTTGGGGGATTTGTGTTGTTTATTGAGATAGCATCTCATTGTAATTTAGAACTGTGGCAATTCTCCTGCCTCAGCTTCCTGGAATTACAGGCATACACCACCACACCTGGCTCCAGCTTTCTCTTAAAAGCTTTGTGACCATAAGCTTTTTATTTCTCTTTTATTTCTCTTGTGTTTTCTTCATCTGTTAAAATCAGGATAAGACCTGTCTGGTATTAGGAGTGAAATGAGGTATCAAAATCAAACAAAAGGGGCCAGAGAGATGGCTCAGTAGAATAAAAGCTTGCCTGGCAAGCACAAGGGCCTGAGTTCAATCCCCAGTTCTGCAAAAAAAAAGAAAGTGAAGAAACCTATGGTTTAACTCTTGGTAAATTGCCACTTTGGCAATGGCTAAAAAAAAAAAAAAAAAACAATGGCTAGCACAGAGTAAATACTCAGAAAAGCCTGCTATCATGGTTAGGAAGGAGAAAAAAAAAAAAATACTCAGAGCCAGGCATGGTATCTATAATTGCAGCACTTTGGAAGGATAAGCCAGGAGGGTCACAAGTTACAGCCCAGCTTGAGCACTTAGCAAGACTCTGTTTTAGTGGTCTAGAGAGATAGCTCAGCTGCCTAAGCACCTGCCTGGCAAGCCCAAACTCATGAGTTTGACCCCTGGTACCAAAAAATAAATAATAATAAAGACCTTGTTTTAAATTTTTAAAAAAGGGGCTAGGGAGATTCAATAGAATAAGCGCTTCCCTGGCAAGCACAAGGGCCTGAGTTCCATACCCGGTTCTGCCAAAAAAAAAAAAAAATTAAATAAATAAAAAAGGCAAAAACTCTGGGTTACTCCTCAGCACCAAAACGAAAACAGAGCCAGGCATGAAAGGCACACACCTACAACCCCACATCTGGGAAGTTGCAGCAAGAGGACTGTCCTGAGTTCAAGGCCTGCCTAGACTGCAAAGCAAGATCCTGTCTCAAGAAAACAAAGCAAACAGCAAAAAACCATCGTATTAGTGAGCAAGGGCTTTCAGTAACTTTTTTTTTCCACTTAATTTCTCCCAGCAGCCAGTATGTCATTGGTTAGCTTAAGCACCAGGACCTAGCCCGGGTGTGTGTGCCTGGGGAGCCCACTATTTTCCTGCCCCTCGCCTTTAAACAGCGATGCTCAGAATTGCACAACTGCAAGAGGGAGTCTTGATGAGGCCAAGAGGTGAGCAGGACAGAATCTGGTGTAGAGGCCCGAGCTGTGCAAACTGAGCCCAACCTTCTGTGACACCCTTGACACCATCACTTCTTACCAGAGAATTTCACTGTCTCCTTTTTCCTACCCCTTGGACTTTAGTTTCCCAAGTGGCAGCATGCAGCAAAGTATTTCATACTCAGTGGCAAGTATTCCTGCTGTCCCTATAAGATGGCCCCACTCCAGCGAATGCCACTCTAGACCCATTATGCCTAGCACTCGACTCAATCCTGTTTGAAGATCTGGGGAACAGAGCTGTTCTAAATTAAGAATTGGAAAACTGCATTTCTTTCTTTTTCTTTTTTGGTTTTTTGAGACAGGGTCTTGCTGTATAGTTCCGAACTCCCTGTGTAGCACAGGCTGGCCTCAAACTTGTGGCAATCCTCCTGCCTCAGCCTCCTGAGTGCTGGGATTAGAGGCATGTGCCACAACACGTGGAGAAAACTGCATTTCTGAGGCTAGATCCTTCCTACCAACTACCTTCAAGCTAATTTTTTTTTTTTTTTTTTTTTTTGCGGAACCGGGTATTGAACTCAGGCCCTTGCACTTGCCAAGGAAGCGCATATTCTGAGCCATCTCCCCAGGCCCTCAAGCTAATAATTTTTACTTTTTTGTTGTTTATCGTTTTTTGAGACAAGGCCTCTGTAGATAGTACAGGCTAGTGTTGGAACTTGTGGCAATCCTTTGTCCCTGGAGTCCTGGGATTATGGGCATTTGAAAACACAGCTGGCTCTCCCCACAACCCACCCACCCATTTTTACCTTTTTAAATAGTCACATTGTAAATGGCTGTAAAAGAACCTAGCCAGGTGTGGTGGCACAAGCCTCTAGTCCCCACACTTTGGGAGGCTGAGACAGGTGGATCAGGCCAGGTTCAAGGCTAGGCTCCTTTCCTCGCTGTTTGCGCATCTGCAAGCATGGTGAACGTTCCCAAAACCCGGCAAACTTTCTGTAAGAAGTGTGGCAAGCATCAGCCCCACAAAGTGACACAGTACAAGAAAGGCAAAGATTCTCTATATGCCCAGGGAAAGCGGCGTTATGACAGGAAACAGTGGCTATGGTGGGCAGACTAAGCCAGTTTTCCGGAAGGCCAAAACTACAAAGAAGATTGTCCTGAGGCTTGAGTGTGTTGAGCCCAACTGCAGATCTAAGAGAATGCTGGCTATTAAGAGATGCAAGCATTTTGAACTGGGAGGAGATAAGAAAAGAAAGGGCCAAGTGATCCAGTTTTAACTTTTCATGTTTTTTATTGTGAAGACAATAAAATCTTGCTGTTTACTTAAAAAAAAAAAAAAAAAAAAAAAAAGGCTAGGCTCAAGGCCAGTTCAAGGCCAGGTTAGGCTACCTAGGGAATTCAAAGGTAGCCTGAACTGCATAGTGAGATTCTGTCTAAGGAAAAAAAAAAAAAAAAAGGAACTAATAATATTCTTTGGCAACGTCTAAGATATTTACTATCAGACCCTATAAAAAAAAAAGTTGAACCCTTGCTTGGCTAAATCATAGAAGAAATTATGCAAGAGCCAGACATAAGAGGCACATGCCTACAACTCTGAAGGCTGAAGCACAAGGATCAAGACCAACCTGGGCTACATGAATCCCTACCACAAAAAAAAAAAAGGAAATCTTAAAAGTCGCTCCCTCTGGGTGAGGATGTGTAGCCCAGTGGTAGAGAACTCCCCTAGCTCTGGATTTGTTCCCCAATGCCGCAAAACAAGGCACTTCTCGCCCTTGCTCACTTGCCCTTAGCTCCAGGACAGGAGCTGTGCCCTGGTCAGGACTCCCATATCCGGCCAGTTCCTGATTCTCCATGTCCGCGAGAGTCCCCTCCTTACAGGGGAGACCAGAGCCCAGCAACCCCTTTGCCCACACTCCAGGCGGGATGTGGCTCCTTTCGGGGTACGAGTCTCCATCGTGGAGCCTGGCTTCTTCCGCACCCCGGTGACCAGCCTGGAGAGTCTGGAGAACACCCTGCAGGCCTGCTGGGCACGGCTATCTCCAGCCACACGGGCCCTCTATGGGGACACCTTCCTCTCTGCCTGTGAGTAGCCGGGGACACAAAGAGGACATGAGATCAGAGGCCAGCCCACATCAGCCTCTTGGGCAAAGGGCAGGGCAAAGGGAATGCCAAGGAAGAGTGCCCAACAACCGGGTAGGGCCTAGGTGGGCTGGACTGGAGGGGAGGGGATCCTGACTACACACACCCTGGACTGCAGACCTCAGAGTACAGCGGCACGTTCTGAACATGATCTGTGACTCGGACCTAACCAAAGTGAGCCAGTGCCTGGAGCACGCGCTGACCGCACGCCACCCCCGAACCCGCTACAGCCCAGGCTGGGATGCCAAGCTGCTCTGGCTGCCTGCCTCGTACCTGCCAGCCAGCCTCGTGGATGCCGTACTCACCTGGCTCCTTCCTAAGCCAGCCCAGTCAGTGCACTGAGCTGATCTCTCCAGCAAGATTGCTCTTCCAAAAGCAAGGATTTTTTACTTCTGTCTCTACCCTGGTACTGCCTGCCACATCGCACAAAACAGGCATTCAAAATAAATGTATTTTAAAACAAAAGTGGACAGAAATGAAGGTGCTCAGTTAAAGAATAGAGGGCTGGGGATTTTTTTTTAAGTAACATTTTTTAAATTTTATTTATTTGTGTGTGTGGCCAGCTCAGCCCACCAGGGGGCGGGGCTGGCTGGCATGTAGTGCTGGGGGATTGAACCGCAGTCCCTGTGCTTTGCTAAGCTTGTTCTAAGTAGGTGCTTTAGACCACTGAGCCATCTCACCAGCCCCATGGGGGCTGGGGATTTAGCTCAGTGGCACTGTGCCTGCCTGGCATGCATGAGGTCCTGAATTCAGGTCCACCAAAAAAAAAAAAAAAAAATCAGATACTCAGCTGGAGAATGATCCCACTTAAGTGATAACTACCCTAAGTTATTTTACCTGTCCAAGGACTGTAGCCTGTTCATACCTGCAGGACAGCTATTAACCACTAGGGGCCATGAGGGAACTGCCTTGCATTTATGCATGGCCTTAAACTGCACTCGCAGAAGTGGCCACAAGAGGGCACCTTCCTTTATTTTCTGCGAGGTAAGGTTACAATTGTAGAAGGAATATCCTTATTTTTCGTGGTGGGAATGGCAGATGATGAGTCAGCACCAAACGGGGCCCATAGAAGAAAAAGCAATAGAAGCCAACCATGGTGGTGTACTTCTGTAATCCCAGCACTCGAGAGGTTGAGGCAAGGGGATTGCCCTAAATTCGAGGACAGCCTGGGCTACAGTGGGACCCTGTCACAAAAAAAAGAGGGACACGGGCCATGCAAATCTCAAGTGGCCTTATTACCCCTTTTACAAGTCTCCCTGAAGGCAAGCAGGAAGGAGTCTGCTGGACAGTTCTGTGTGGGCCAGAGTCGGGTAGAAGTATTACAAAAAATTCCTCTGACTCTTGCAGATGGCTTCATGATTATTCCAGGGCTAAGCCTGGCAGCAGCAGACAAAGAGACAGAGGGTAGTGGCCCACAACCTCCTCTGGATCCCCATTTGTCCCACTGCCAGCCCAACCAACCTTCAGCAAATCTTCCTTTCCCAAACAGTTCCCCAAACAGGCCTGCCTTTTGCAAAGGCATCCACAGCAAAGTACCAGAAGAAAGGAACAGAAGGGTAAAACAGCATGCTAGGACAAGTGAGACCATCACTCTTTTTGGTCTGAAAAAATAATCCGTTTAATTGAAAAAACCTGGGGATTCTACTCTATTCCCCTAGACAAGGGGGCTAATGAGACTAGACCCCCTACATCACTTCATAGCCACTTCGGATACTCTTCACAAGACAGCAGGCAAACACGACTCCCAGGATCTAGAAGGAAAGAGAGACACAGAGAGTGGAAAGGAATCCCCCAGGACAGGACCTCTTGTTCATCACCCTTCTCCCCACAGCCCCTGCTCCCCAGAAACCCTGCACCTGGTCTCAGCCCTTGCCCAGGGCACCTCTCACCTCCACAAAAGCAATACCCAGGGCTACTGCAGCCACCAAAAGTATATTTTTTCTCAGCCAGCTCCCAATCTTCTCCACACAGCCCTAAAGGGAGACAGAAAAACATGGCAAGAGCACCCTCAGAAACCTGCCCCCTGGCCCACCTGTCTCTTCCCATCCCTACACCCCCACATCCCTTCCTCATCCCTGACCATGTTAACTACCACCCTAGGTCTCTCTTGCCTCCAAAAACATCCCCCAGGTTTCCCAAGTCCCACACTGTCTCCATCTTCTTCCTACCTCAGGATTGATAGAACTCTGCTTGAAGTCAATGCCACAGCCCATGGTGATGTTGACACAGCAGGAATCAGGAACCCTGTTCTTGCCCATGCCAGGGATGTCCTCCCAATCTGAGTAGTTAGCAGCCCCACAGCACTCAAACTGGGGCAGTGGAAAGAAAGGGGAGGAAACGTTTCCAAATGACACTCAGCTTTCAATGAGGAGATGAGGATCTTCTTCCCACACACACACCCTGCTCCCAGCATGCTACTCACTTTTTTCTGCAAGTTGTCCAGTAATGTATCTGTACTGTTTTTGGAGTAATTCTTCATCCGCTGTCGGAAGTCCTTATCAAACTCTGCTCTTATCTGAAAGCAGAAAGGAACAGGGTTGAGGACCACATCAGGTACCTGGGACCCAGAGCAGCAACAGGCAGAGCACTCCCTTATTCCCTGCTTACCTTGTCTCTAAAAACATAGCCAGTGATGGCTGTGGCCACCTCCACCAGCATGATAAGAGACAGGAAAATGGCAAACTGTGGCAGCAAAGGAAAGGAGTCAGGTCTGGAATCTGGATGGAAAGGGTCTGCTCTAGCTTAGCCAGAACCCGAACTCATGGAGCTCTCCCTGATCCACCCACCTTGCCACCCTGGTACAGAAATCCCCTGCAGCAGGCCCAGACAGCCACAGTGACCCATACCCCCAGCACTCACGGTGGTCATGAGACAGTAGTTCTCCTTGCAGGCTCCACAGCAGCCTAGGAAGGCCACCAGGAAGAGGAAGGCCCCCACCGCAATGATGATCACAGGCAACAGGCTGGCAGGAGTAGCCCCAGGGCTCATGGTCTCACTCAGGATAGGCTTGACCGCTATGCCCACAGCGATCAATCCTACTGCACAGGCCTAGGGGGTAGGCAGGAGAAGGTTAGGCCCAAGTCAGCCCAGCAGCCCTCCTCACTGGCCGGCAAGTACACCAAGGCCACAGACCTGACCCTATCCAGGGCACTAATCCCCACTGGAAACTTTTCAAAGGGAGGCATAATCCCATCCTTACCCTCAATGAACGCTGGGAGCTGTTCTAGGGCGAGGGACGTTGAACATTTTAGAAATGAGAGCCTACACTTACTTATCGCAAAGTGCCGATAAATAATGCTCAACTACAGCGCAACACTGAGGTTTTAGTTTGGAAAAACAACTCCTATATTAACATCTTTTCCCTTAAGAAGTCGCACCCGAGGGCCAGTAGAAGCCATGTCTACCTTTAAAGCAGCTTTTTGCCCAGGGATAGACCAAATGAAAAAGGAAAAAAAAGGAAGCACACAGAAACTTGACCTCAAGGCACATATTCCTGACCCACAGTAGTACTGTTCCTGGCCTCCGGGGATCCCTGCTAGTCTACCCGAACAGCCTGCCCCCTCACTTGGCCTCCAGTGAGTAAGATCCTCAGAGAGGGAGGAGGCGGAGGAGGAAAGGGCCAAGAGTGTCGTGCCCTCCCTGGACAAACAGTAGTTGGAGCTAAATTAAGGTGGGCAGCTCCCTTCCCTCGCCAGCAGCTGGGCTAGGAGGCAGGGGTAGAGAGACGAGAGGATTCGAATGAGAAGTGAGGGACGCCTCATCGGTGATAGCATCGGGCCGTTGGTTGGTTGCCCCACTGCCCCATATCACAAGTGGTTGGGTCACCAGACAGGAAGGGCCAGGAGAAGTGGGGGTGCGGCGGGTGCTGTGCAGCCAGTTGGGCCACTCTCGGTCCGAACTGGCCTCCGGAGGTTCCGAGAGCCAGAGGGAGTGGCCGAGCTGCCTTCAGCCTTCCCGAGGCTAGCTTTCCGCATCTGGTCTCCAGCTGCCTCCACTCCTGGGCCCTCAAGCCCCCCATCCCCCCGCCAGCGCGCCCCCGCCGCCGCCCCTCCCCACTCACGCAGAACACCAGCAGAAGAACGTAGAGCAAGAACTTGACACATTTCATTCCTCCTTCCACCGCCATGGCTGCTGGGCCTGGGCCGGAGAGGGCGGAAGGGGGAGTGGATGTTAGGAGCCGCCCAGGGGGCCCGGCCTCACGTCCGCCCGCCCGCCGCGGCCCTCGAGGTCTCCCCATGCGGCCCCCGGCCCGGCCCCGCCCACCCGGAAGCCCGCGGCCGCGTCCACGTCTCCCCGCCGCGGTTGATCCCCGCAGACGGGGTGGGGGCGACGCCCGAACCTCCCGGCGCTCCGCGAGCACGGGGCCGACGGGGGCCAGCGGGTGCGGGCCTGGTGGGCCTCGTCCCGTGGGCCGCAGTCCCTGGGCGTCAAACACCGCGCTCCCCCCCAACCAGTCCGGCAAAACGGTGCTCCACCCGGCCTCGACCCACGCCTGCCACTTTCCGCCCGGCGCCGACGTCCCCCGAAAAAGTGCGGCGGGTGCTCCAGCCCGCCCACCGCGGGGCTTGGAAGCAAAGTTGCTCGAGGGCCCCGGGAGCGGCCCGCCTCTCGAGCCCAGGGGTCCCCGGGAGTCCCCTCAGCCCACTCCGCGCCCGTCGCGGACGCCGCGGCCTCACCCGGACTCCCGAGGCTGAGCGATCCTCTCCCGCCGCGGCTC